GTGGGCCCTGGGCTCCTCCTGGTGCAGGACAACACCTGGCCTCATGTGGCCAGAGTGTTTAGGCAGTTCCTAGATGATCAAGGCATTGATGCCATTGACTGGCCTTTACATTCACTCATCAGGAGCATGCCCAGATGTTGCCAAGAGTGCATACAGGCATGCAGGGGCCATTCACACTTCTGAGTCACATTATGAGTTGCTGTGATGAAATTCATGCAACTTGGATGAGCCTGTGATTTCATTGATTTTCAGTGGGATTTTGAATACAGTCTCCATGGGCCGATGATTTTGCTTTCCACTGACTGTTATGTCATTTTATTCTGATCAAATTATACACTGTACATTAGTAAAGGTTTTCAACTTGAATAATTCGTTCATCAAGATCCAGTGTGTGATATAGGGTTCCCTTAGTTTTCTTGAGCAGTTTATTTTGCCTGTACTGATCAACCCTTGTCACCTTAGGACCCACACAAAACAGAGTTCAGTCAAGGACTGTAAGTCTGTCCAAGTCAGTGTGCACTGTCGTTGCTAATATTTGAAGTCACAACTGAAACACCATGCAGAAGAAAACAGCTTAAACACAAATCAGTGTTGACATGATTTTTTAAAAATAATCTACAGTATCTCAATCAAATCTCAGTTCTCTGAAAACTGATTTTTGCACCAGAGTAAACTGTGAGGAAAGTAAAGATTACAGGCCATTACAGCTTTTTCAGGACAGTAATGTAAAGTGTATACATGTATGTGTCTAACAGAACATGTACAATACTTGTACTTATTTGTTTTAATCACACACATACAGTGCTTGGAAAATGAAACCATTCCAGAAATTCTCTCTTGCATAGAATGCTTCCTATAAAAGCAAGAAAAATCCTCTGCTAAGAGTAAGACTATAGCCAGGAAAGTTTTAACTGAGGACCACAAGCTTAAGTAGAGCAGGCCTAGGCCATAATAGTTCCTTGATCATTAGCATGATGCTGCATGTGACAAGTGTTCTGACTAATTTGATTGCTAGGCTAATTGTAGAAAAAGGTGTAGCTCATTATAACTGAATAGTTCAGCAAATATATTAAAATTCAGATGACAGAAACAGCATGGTTCTGTATTGGAAACACATTCCTTGTGTGTGTAACATACTTGGCCAAATAAAGGTGATTATCCTCACATACTGAGTTGGGTAGCCCACACTGAGCTGAGATGCTGGTATGGAAGACACGTTTTGTTAAACACTGAATGGATGTTTACCATTTCCAAAAATTTTCTACTTTTAAAATTGGATAGCCTTTTGATTTTTTTTTAAAGATCTTTTCTCTTATAGCCCATAACACTGTCAGGTGTTGAGTCCGGGACTGTCTCCTACGCAGACTATCCGCTAACACGAGAGTATGGGGGATTTATAACGATGCCAAAACACGTTCGTTGAGAAAGTAAAAACATATTCACACACATACAATATAAAAAGTCAGCCTGAGACAAAATAAAATAGCGAGGTCCAGACCTTGGGGACCTTATAGCTGGCTAGGTGGGTGGCTAAGACAGACATATGAATTTAATATACTGCTGTTTTTCTTTCTCACACACACACACGCACATGGTGTCCAATCAGGGTGCGTGTATCGGCTGGTGTAATGAGGTGGAGAAATGTGTCCATTACTTGAGTTGATGGGCTCCTCGCAGCGGTTCACCCGCAGCTGGAAGAGAGGAGGAGGAGGAAGCACCAACATGGAGAATACCACACAAATTCAAGTCGTACAAACTGAAACTCTCTGACAGGACATAATAATATGTAATAATAATAATTAATGACTCACCTGGAAAGAACTTTACGGGAAAAATGTTTTCTTTAATAGATTTTTAAAGTAGTTTCACGCAGAGTCCCATAGTTTTAAAAAGATTTTGCTAACTTGAGTTCTTCAGGAAGCTCATTTGAGGGATCTCAGTGGTAAAAGCTGGATCCCGCTATTAAAATTAAGCTTTGGAAAAATAAGACATGCTGAACTTAAGCATCATTCAGACTTAGCATATCTGCTCTTTTTTTGTTTTGTTTTTGTTAAATGAACAACAAAAAGGTTTTGCAAGCCAATATGAGCTAGCAAAGAAGGCAAAGCTTTGGTTAAGTCTGGACAAATCTTTTTTCCCCCCAGAGTTTGTAAATGTGAAACTTTCAGGTTAAAAAATGATTAATTAATGCAGATTTTGATCTTGAATATTTTTTGGTTTGTTGATCTAAGAGATTGTAACCACTCTCCCAAGCCATCCCTAACTACTTATCTTTTGAAGATAATATAACATGTAATGTAACATACACTGACTTAATACTGTACAATAGTAAATTAAAGGCACTTGCACTTGGAGTGTTTACAAGCTGGCCTGCAGGGGTGGCAAAGTGATGCAGTGGTTAGCAGTGTCACCTCCCAGCAAGAAGGTTCTGGGTTCGAACTTCTTGGCAACCAGGGCCTTTCTTATTTGGCAGCTTTGATGACTATACAGATTACCACTGTATACAAAAGAAAAGATGAGCTGATAAATTTTTATGCACTGCCATTAAATTGTGCCACAATGTCACCTGTGGGGAGGCACTGTCCTGAAGACTGAAGTCAGAGAACTAAATTCCCCAGTCACATAAATGACACATATGGAAGGCTGTGACATGACTCACCTGTAGTCTGGAAGCGTACCTGTGTTTTATCACATAAATAAATACCCCTAAGGTGAATATACTGTACAGGCTATACCTGTGTGTATGTACCTCTCTCATAGACATTCCGTAGCCCTTTCCACTAACTACTTCTAATTTTAATCCTAAAATCAAGTCTTAACCCCTTAAACTGTTCTATGGTGTGTCAGAAAGTGAGGACCAACCAGTGTCCTCACTCCCATGGTCTAAAACTGGTCATCACGCAGGTACACTCACATACACACACAAAAAGCAACAGAAAACCCCAACAGGGCATGTCAGGATGCCAGAGATGTTAATGATGTTTGGAGATGTGGCTTAACTATGTGCATCCACATACTCTGTAGCATATTTAACAGTTTGCAAGTATGCATTCCTTCACAGTCATCACAGTATGGTACACAGAACAAATAAATATAAGCAGAGGACTTGGAAGTCAAAATGTTTTAATACTACAAGTTGACTGCTGAAGTTCTGTCTTACTGGTGTATTAGGTGAAAGAGCAGGTATACATCGCCATCTAGAGATTAACATAGGTATCTGCAGCTGACATGGTCACAAATACGGATATAAAAAAAAAGTAGACTACCAGGCAAAAGTGTTAGACCACCCCCGTTTTCTTCAGTTTTTGTTTTGACATGTAAACAGTTGAAGTCCAGTGAATAACCTTCAATGGTACAAAGCTAAGATGTCAACTGCCAGAGATAACACAAACAAAAATAAGAGAAAACTCACAAAAAACTAAATATGCATGCAAATTTCATATAAAACAGATCTTTATCAGGGATCAAGCAGTAGGTTAACTTCCATATTTATGCAGCAGTGCAAGTAAATGATGCCCTGGAATCTGAAACAAAGGAATCCAATAAATGTCACAACTTTTCTTGGTTACTAACAACAAATTCTATTTGTACAAAGGCAGTGCTGTACAAGGTTCTCATTAAAAGGCTGAAGGAATCCTCTAGAAAAAGGCAATTAACAAAAAATGTCTGACCTTTTGAAGGGTTATAATGATGTAAAACTCACCTCCAGGCTGTGCAGAAGAAAAGAAGAAGACAGGCTTCAAATGATGGAATGGCAGCAGTGTCCGGGCCTTTCAGATGAAGAGTGGAAGCAAAGCAACCTAGTGCAACACGTTTGAGAGAACGTCTGCAACAATGTATTTGAAGTATTAAAGTTATCAGTTGGACTTGCTTGAGTTTCTTGAAGATTTTTCACCTCTCTGGTAGGTGCACATTTAAATGTTGAACAAACTGCTCAAGCCTCACATTAACTCAAAGATATGAGGTTTGTGGTTTTAGTGTCCGATCACTTTCACTGGAAACGGTGGAAATGGACCTCGTCACACCCAGTAGGAACAGGAGGATGCTTACAGCAGACAAAAATCCCTTTGTGTTCATATGAGCACAGGACCTGTCTATTAATTTAAGACAGACTTTAAAAGAACTGAACTTTTGCTTTACTTGTTCTGGCCCGTGAGAGTCTGCCTCTGGATGCTTGCTGGCTTGTACCAACTGTTACAGCAGGAGCATTTACATTTCTATGCCTCCTCCTCATCATCCCCTAATATTAAACACCATCCCTCCTACTGAACTGAATGAGAAAATGTGCCCAAATATTTGACTGGTAGGGTAAATCCGCAGTATCATAGACTGTACACAATCTATGGAACCAATTTGTTAGAAGTTACAAAACATCTGATTGAGATGATCAATCTGGTGCTGATTATCATCATCTTATGGTCCAAAAACATCACCATGAGGTCAAAGCAATGTGTCTGGTAGAGTATACCTGTACCTCTACATGTAGCAGGCCACATGACAGAAGACAGGTGAACAGCTGCCGGGAGGTATGTAAGAGAGTGTGAAATAAAACAAGGTGAGCTGATGAGACCAAAGTTGTTTTTTGTCCATCAAAGGAAACACTATATTTAGTGTAATTCAAACAACAGAAACACACCATCACCACAAGTGAAACATGTTGTGGTGATGTTTTTATGTATGAGAAAAACAAACTCTAGACATTTCTGGATCCAGATCCAGAACTTGTGATGGACATGAAAACTGCTGTTCACTCTCAGTTCTCATGTGACTTGAGCATTTTTTCAAATCAGTGTCCAAATGTGCAAGCCTGATAGAGACCTGCTCATGCTGACTGATCTGAAAGAGGAATATGGAGTTAATTTTGAGTGCTAAAGTTCCTAATGGCATCTATTCTGATTCAATGTTATGGAACAATACATGGGAGAATTACTAACCACAGGAGGAGCATAAACTTAAATGGATGTATTTTTTTATTTATCATGGTTAATTCTCTCTTTAACAAAAGAAAAACCACTGGAACGCTCAGCAAATCAAATCAAAATATTCATTCACTATAGCAATCGAATGAAAACACATCTGTTGAAAACTAACCCACAGCGCAAAGTTAATGAACATTCACAATAAAAAAGGGAGATACAGAATTTGAATATTTACAAAACAGAAGAAAATACAGCACTTTAAAAAGAAGTTTCTTCACAAAAATGGCATCTTTCTTGTTTGTAATCAGTGAAGAAAATCCAGATTTCCCAAATTCTCATTGTATTAGAAAACATTTTGACACGTTCAAGAATTTCAAGAACATTTCTCACAACCAAAGTAAGAAAAACACCAAGTATAAACTGAATTGGTGCTGATATACAGTGACTTAAGGTGGGAAGAGATGACTTCATAACTGTATTTCTGCATTATCTGAATCCCGCAAATAAATATTAACAACCAAGCCACGGCCTTCTACAGTTCTTAGCAAAGAGACAAAAGTAAATACAAATAAAAAGTTAAAAATGTAAAGAAGGAAAAACAGCTATAAAAGAAAGTACAAAACAGTTTGTTATGGACTATGCCTGTGAGTTTTCCCCTGAGTTAATGTGAGAGTGAATGGCCAGATGTTTTGCAATGGAGCTTTACTACTGTTGTCAATATCAGACACCATGCCAATATTTGTTTACTTGGAGTTTGTATATGATTGATAAATGCTTGACAGGATAACAATGGAGTTTGTACTTTGTCAATGTCTCTTGTGTTTTAATGTAACATAAAATGGTCCGTTTTTATTCTGGATGACAAAGCAAAGCTTAGTAAAAAGTCAAGATGTTGTCAAAGGGTTCGTGCTTTACTGCCAAGAAAGACAGTGTATAGCTATAGTCTATATGCTGTTGTCCTTTGGGCCAAGTGTCTCTTCCATCACTTGAACACAGCATAAAAGGCATTCTAGAGAAATATATCATGAGTGTTTGTGAAGACAACAAATCCAAGAAGTGAAGCTGAATGTAATATAGAGGACTTGCTGTAAAAAGTGCAAGAAGCAGTGCATGCAACCGTAAGATAAGCACATCACGCAAAATTCTTCACACTGATTACTTCTTCTTATGTCAAAAATAAAATTAGATATAAATAAATTTAAATTTGAGCCAAAACCGCAGCGTGTAAAAAACTTTCAGTTAGCCTCTCCTCAGGAGGGTCTTTGAGGGCTTAAAAAATTCTAAGCACCATCTTGAAACATTTTTGTTAGGCTACTTGTATTCATAATGCACAGAATCTGGACCATGATGTAACCACCAATACCTATTCTGTTGTTGTAAATATGGCCTAGCTGTCCATTGTTGACCAGGACCTTTTTGTTCAGTAAGTCAGGTGTTTATCCTGTGGAGTTTGTCACTGTGATCTACTCCAAAGCTATGTAGTCTAAAAAGGCCAACTGGAAGCACAGAACATAATTTACTTTTTAATGAGATGACTGGGCAATAAATGCAGCAGAAAAAAATGAACAATGATGACAGGAAAATGATCAGTTGTCACAATACTCCATGCCATTTTGCATCGATCCATCCACAAAAAGATGATAATATCTAACATTAACTACCACCTCTCTCATCTAACTGATGTGGTTTGTATTTTTAAAAAGGACATAAGAAAAAAGCTGGATGTATCCGTGACTTCGCTAGTGACGGGGGCCACTCAGTCGTGTAAGAAGAGCACCTGATCACAGAGAGAGGAGTAAAACAGAAAAGGAAACGTTACTGGTTGTTTACACCCAGTGTCCTGTTTTAATTAACAATATCTATTAAAATGCAGAACTACTGTACAATCTATAACCATATTTTCCACTGTACCACCTGTATGCCTTTGCCAACCACTCAAATTCATGGGTGTAGGACAGATGTGAGGGCAATGACCTTGACCTTTGATGACCAAAATCTAAATGGTTCATCATCAAGTCCAAGTGAACACATGCCAAATTTGAATAAATTATCTTAAGGCGTTCATGAGATATCATATTCACAAGAATGTGACGGATGTGAGGTGACTGTGACCTTTGATAACCAAAATCTAATCAATTCATCCTTGAGTCCAATGGGACATTTGTAACAAATATGAAGAAATACCCCCAATAGTTCACAGAAATTAGCCGGATGGACACAGACAACCTGAAAACATAATGCCTCCAGCTGCAGCTACCATCAGTGCAGAAGCATGAAAACAAGCTGACACCTAATAAAAAGGTCAAATCTATTTAAAGACAAAAGGTGAAGAGAAAAAATATCTGTGACCCACCTGGAGGTGACAGAAGTGGAGGCCGAGAACTCTTTAGAGATGGAGGTGCCCCTCTAATCACATGTGGGCCCCTGGGGCTTGGGTGGTATGGAGGAGCATGGGGTAGTAGGGGACCACGAGTTAAAGGGGGAGCACCGTAGAGGCTGTGTGAAGACAGAGGGCCTCGTGGCACTGGGACCCCTAGACCAGGAGGTCGATGCAAGGACAACAGTGGAGGAGGTTTGGTTTTGGGATAGGAACCTAAAAAAAAAGAGATACAAGACACAGCTGAATGAAATGATCCCCAAAAGAGCCTCACCGACCACACTGGATAAAAGAATAAGCAACACATCCATCCAGTGCAATAAAGTTTTTAAAATAGAGTTGTTGGGTATGTGGTCCCTATGTCCCAGAACAGAAAATAAAAACACCCCTTACATCAGGGGTGTCCAAACTACAGCCTGCAGTCCATTTTTAATTGGACTGCAGCAAATTCTATGAATATAATGGAATATGGCCCACACATGAAACTTGCACTTGACTGTACTGTAGTTCTTAGTTTTAACACTGTCTTCAATAAGGCAGCTTCTCCACAAAACAAAATGAATCAAAGAAAAAACTTGCCACAGATGACCAAACCAAAGAAACATAAGATAGCAAGTGAATGCAGAAAATTTCAGAGAGGGAAAATGAATATTTCTTCAAAGAAGTCAAGGGGAAGTGTATCTGTTTGATTTGCAATAAAACTGTTGCAGTGTTGAAGAGTATAATGTACAATGACACTATGTAACCAAACATCAGACCTACAAGTCCTACACTGGTGCTAAGCAAGAAGAGAAATTTAGCAAATGGCTGCTAGCCTGCTAGCTCAACAACAGAACTTTTTCCATGCTAACAAAACACAAGAAAATGCTACAACAGCCAGCTACAAGGTACAGTAGCTCAACTCATAGCGTGACATGGGAAACCTTTGTCAGATGGTGACTTCATTAAACAGTGCCTCACTAAAGTCACAGGAATAATGTGCCCAGAAAAGATGAAGGAATTCAACAACGTGAGCAAGTCCAGAAACACAAATGTGCGGGGTGAACTTAAATGGGACAGGCTGTGTGGAAATATGTGTCTATGATCACATCTCTTATGACAGGTTTCAGTCAGCGCTTCCAAGACTTTTCTGCTGTTGAGAAAGAAATCAAGCTGTTCTCAACTACATTCCTGATGGATGCAGAAGAAGTGAAAGGGAGTCTGCAATTAGAACTTATCAAAATGCAGTGTAATGATTCTCTGAAGAATCAACATTAGCTTCTCTCCCTACCCAACTTCTACCGGAGCTTGGAAAAGGCCAAGTTTCTTCTGATGCGACGCCATGCAAAAAGAATGACAAGTCTGTTCGGCTCAACATATACAGTATTGTTCAAAATAATAGCAGTACAATGTGACTAACCAGAATAATCCAGGTTTTTAGTATATTTTTTATTGCTACATGGCAAACAAGTTACCAGTAGGTGCAGTAGATTCTCAGAAAGCAAACAAGACCCAGCATTCATGATATGCACGCTCTTAAGGCTGTGAAATTGGGCAATTAGTTGAAAGGGGTGTGTTCAAAAAAATAGCAGTGTGGCATTCAATCAGTGAGGTCATCAATTTTGTGAAATAACAGGTGTGAATCAGGTGGCCCCTATTTAAGGATGAAGCCAGCACTTGTTGAACATGCATTTGAAAGCCTGAGGAAAATGGGTCGTTCAAGACATTGTTCAGAAGAACAGCGTACTTTGATTAAAAAGTTGATTGGAGAGGGGAAAACCTATAAAGAGGTGCAAAAAATTATAGGCTGTTCAGCTAAAATGATCTCCAATGCCTTAAAATGGAGAGCAAAACCAGAGAGACGTGGAAGAAAACGGAAGACAACCATCAAAATGGATCGAAGAATAACCAGAATGGCAAAGGCCCAGCCAATGATCAGCTCCAGGATGATCAAAGACAGTCTGGAGTTACCTGTAAGTACTGTGACAGTTAGAAGACGTCTGTGTGAAGCTAATCTATTTTCAAGAATCCCCCGCAAAGTCCCTCTGTTAAAAAAAAGGCACGTGCAGAAGAGGTTACAATTTGCCAAAGAACACATCAACTGGCCTAAAGAGAAATGGAGGAACATTTTGTGGACTGATGAGAGTAAAATTGTTCTTTTTGGGTCCAAGGGCCACAGACAGTTTGTGAGACGCCCCCCAAACTCTGAATTCAAGCCACAGTACACAGTGAAGACAGTGAAGCATGGTGGTGCAAGCATCATGATATGGGCATGTTTCTCCTACTATGGTGTTGGGCCTATTTATCGCATACCAGGGATCATGGATCAGTTTGCATATGTCAAAATACTTGAAGAGGTCATGTTGCCTTATGCTGAAGAGGACATGCCCTTGAAATGGTTGTTTCAACAAGACAATGACCCCAAACACACTAGTAAACGAGCAAAGTCTTGGTTCCAAACCAACAAAATTAATGTTATGGAGTGGCCAGCCCAATCCCCGGACCTTAATCCAATCGAGAACTTGTGGGGTGATATCAAAAATGCTGTTTCTGAAGCAAAACCAAGAAATGTAAATGAATTGTGGAATGTTGTTAAAGAATCATGGAGTGTAATAACAGCTGAAAGGTGCCACAAGTTGGTTGACTCCATGCCACACAGATGTGAAGCAGTTATAACAAACTGTGGTCATACAACTAAATATTAGTTTAGTGATTCACAGGATTGCTAAATCCTAGAAACAAAAACGTTTGTACAACATAGTTTTGTGTTTGTACAGTCAACGGCAGACACTGCTATTTTTTTGAACACACCCCTTTCAACTAATTGCCCAATTGCACAGCCTTAAGAGCGTGCATATCATGAATGCTGGGTCTTGTTTGCTTTCTGAGAATCTACTGCACCTACTGGTAACTTGTTTGCCATGTAGCAATAAAAAATATACTAAAAACCTGGATTATTCTGGTTAGTCACATCGTACTGCTATTATTTTGAACAATACTGTATATGTGAGTAGACATTTTCTATGGTAACTAAACCTATGGGAACAAAACCATATTGAGAACCAAAATGACCGACAGCAATCTCAACCACCAAACTTGCTCCTGACCTGCCAGCGAGCCATCCTTCAGTCCAAAGCACAGCATCACTGCTCCCATTAAGTGCAACGCTGTTCCCATTGTAGGCGAGTTAAAAATCTATTACACTGTATTCATGTATTCAAAAGCCCAATTACTTAATACATTCAGTCAATTAATGTTAATAACATCTTCTCAAAAACATCAGCTGATGTATTAACAACCCCAATAACTTATTTGCATAACTAGCTTAAATATATCCATCCCCTTGTCCCCTTATTTTTTCCTCTTTATACAGGGCTGTGAAGGGGGATCATCATCCTGACTAAGAAGCAATCTGAGGCTGCTGTTTCTTTTTGTAAAACAATAATTAAATGAAAACCTATTAATGGAAATTTGTATTGTATTGTGGCCCTCAGTGAAAAAGGTTTGGACACCCCTGCCTTAAATATTCAAGTAAGTAGTCAAATTCTGCAGTCTAACCTGGTGAAGGTAAGAGAGGTGTAGGTGGAGAGGAGCGCTCCACCATGGGTGGCCCTCCGACTGCAGACTGGGGTTGAGGGGTACCAGATGGAGTAGGTAGCAGAGGCGGTGGTTTCCCCAGTCCTGGAGGTACCTTGTTACCCCTCTCACCTTCAGTGCTGGAGGCTGGAGAGTACAAAGAAATAAAAATTACATGACCCATACCAGACAGGAAACATGACCCAAAGAGATGGAAAAAACCGGGGACGTTGGGGAATTAAAAATATTGACACAGCACTCGTCCCAGCTGTCCTACACTTTAGCCAGCGCCCCACCTTGTATGTGCTCCTGCCGGGAACTGACATACTCTGAGATGGTTTCCAGCTCCTCAGGGTAGAGATGCACCCCTTCAGCTAAGAGCATGAGCAGCTGGCGGGTTTCAGAGGGAACAGCGTGGCGCTCAATCTTTTCTCGGTCTAGAAAATCATCCAGAAGCTGTGACGCCTGTGCTGCAATGTCTGCCGGGTCCCTTGGTGGGCGCTCTTTGGCAATTCCACGGCTATACTCTGCTGCAACAAAGTCCATGGCCTGGTCTTTGGGCATGTTGCGATGAACTAGAGGGGGAAATAACACAGTTAACGATAACAGTTGAAGGGATTGAAGCGCAAGAAAGAAGGGAAATTCATAAAAAAAAAAGTAGTAAAATCAACAAGGTTTTTACAGTCTGCACTGAGATTGAATTGATGTTGGGATCAGCAAACAGCTAATAAATTAGTAAATTAGTTCTTTGGATGTTCTGCGTTGGAACAGACACTTTGGAAGAGCTGTGGTTTGTTGGAAGATGAGTGTGGAGGGAAGTGCAGTTTGTGCATTTTTGTGCATTCATCAGTAACTTGCCTATGTTTGTGGACACAAAATAACTGATTAGTAAGCCTTGATTTACTTAATTTTTTTTACTTTAATGTGCATTCAAAATGTGATAGCCAAGCACAAACTTTAGATGAATTCTGTATTTAAATTACCTGGTGCAAAAAAATATTCTTTTAATATGTTTACTTAAAAAAAACATAAATTGGTTTTATTATATATATTTTGATTATGTAGACAACACTACAAATGTTTTTAAAGCATTTTTATGCTACACAGTAGCATCAGCAGTGAATAGCAACAACATTTTGAGGCTTGTGTTTTATACAATGCATATTTCTAATTTGTATTATGCAGATTTGTTTGTGCATGGTGTGCTTTTTAATAAAATATCAGTACTTGTGGGGCATCTAAATCACACACATTGTTTAATTGCTGATGCATATGTAGCTGGATTTGGCTGAAATTTCTAAATATGACAGCATCACAAAAATAGGTCCAACAGGGCAAGAAGAATGACCTCATACACGTAAAGAAATTGACAGTTCTTCCACATAAGTGTCCATTAGTAATCCCTCACTGTATGGTCAAAGCTGAATCAGGAAGTTTGCTTCTAACTAATACGTACAACTAATAGTTTGGGTCCGATTTTTAAAATTCAAATTGTTTACACATTGTCTGCTCGTGTCTGATTTATAGCAATGTGTTCACAGACTTTGGTTAGTACTATGCTCTCATAATCAATAAAGGCAACGGCCCAAACTATGCCAGTCTGTAGAGTAAATATGAAGCTTTACACTTAGCTCTAACCATTGTGAGGTTTTACTAGATTGACAAGATGTGCCGATTAGTGAGCTTTACAGGTGCTGCTAGTTTCATAATTATCAGACAGATATGAGAGGGGTATACAGTAGATCTTCTCAGTGAACTTTTGGCAAGAAAGCCAAACCTGAAATGTCAATTTCTTTAACAGTAGATATCCACAGTATTTTAACAGGGCTTCATTCACTTTGTTATGTACTATATGCAATGTTTTGCAAGTGTGTACCAGTGGCAGTGCCAGTTGATGATGAGCCAACAGAATGCCAGTAATGTATATACTGAATGAATGCTGTGTAGATTTGATGGAGTTGAGTGCAGATTTCAGAACTCTATATTGGTGCTTTAATGTGAGTATTTTTATTCGGATTTACACACAAAAAAAAAAAAATTTAATAGATCTTGGTAGAATCTATATAAAAAGTAAACTCTATTGGACTGTTGACGGAGGGTTGTAACTGAGGTGGCTTGGCTAAACTTGAATGAGGGGTAGGGACTTACTTTTGAGGGATTCTGAGAATATGATAACAGTGCAGGAGGACAGAGCTATGTTTGTCTGCTCCACCAGAATACATAACGGGGAGCCGTCTGCTCGGACATCCTGCAGGGCCCGGGTCAGGCCTGACTCCGCCTGAAGGTAGAGCATTTCCACTGACAGGCCACGCTCCTGCAAGCACTGGCTTAGCGATTTGGGGTAATCCCTTTGAGAGGAAGAAAGAGGAACTTTGTTAACTTAACATGTCTATATTAAGTGACTCAGCTGGCATATAGAGAAACCTAAATTAATTATTTCTTGATTTAAACTGTGCTTTATCAACACAAATGTAACTGTGGGTGTGTAGTGGATGGTGTGTATATAGACCTTAATTAGACAGGACCAAGTGTAGCATTACATTGTGAAGAGCTTTGGGTGGCATTAACAAGTTTTAGATTTGTCATAGATATGTTTATTATAGTATGTTTTGGTAGTACATCAGGTAAGACGTACATTACTTTGTAGAAACCTGTTTTCACTTTGACATTAAATAGATTTATTTGTTTTGGGGTTTTTATTTTTGTCAAAAAAGCCAAATTATATTGACCATGATTGATTTATAAAATTAATAAAAGGGTAAAACATCCAAGGGGGTTAATACTTTTTATAAGCACTGTATTCATATGGAAAAGGTCTATTTGCTTTGAACTGTTTTTTTGGTCAAAGAAAAACCTATACCAAAAATTGTAAAATGGTTGTAGCAGCTATTGGCAGCTTGTATTTTTGAGATTGCTCAGTTAAATAGTGGCGTTTGATGCAGTTGTGGATGAATGTGTGGATAATTTGAGTAAGTGGCATTTTACATTAGAACCTTTCTAAATCACTGATGGTCAAGACATGTTTTCAAATTAGTCTCCATGAATCATGCACAAAGGGCTTTTTCCCACATCATATTGTTCTCTCATATTCAAACACAATACAAGGGGGGAACCTTTTAGAAGAGGCAGAAATACCAAATTGTGGTTCATGTAAAAAATCATCCACTGACATAGAAGTAGGCAAACAAAGTCCCTTTTGTCCCTTTTGCTGAGAAGCACCTCCATAACATTGTGCTGCCACCACCATGCTTCACTGTAGGGATGGTATCATCCAGATGATCAGCAGTGCCTGGTGTTCACCAGACATAATGCTTGGAGGTCTGCTCCAAAGTGTACCATTTTTGTCCCATCAGAGCAAAGAATGTTTTACTCAAAGTGGTAATTTTGTCTGCCCACTCTGCCATAAAGACTTGATTGATGTAGAACTGTTGAGACAGTTATCTTTATGTCAGTTTCTTCCATTTCTGCAGTAGACTTCAGAACCTGTTACAATGACCACGGGGTTCTTGGTCACCTGACAAAGCTTTAGAAAAGGTTTAATACCCTTGCCCCAATCCATGCCTCAGTTTTATCACAGATGTCTACAGAGAGTTCCTTGGACTTCATGACTTGCTTTTTTATTCTGACATGCAGAATGAACTGTGTGCCAGAACTACAGGTCTGAATACTTTGTAGCTGAGAGTGAGGTTTTTGATTTTTAATACATTTTCCAAAATTTCTATAAACATGTTTTTGCTTTAACATTATAGGTTAATGAGTGTGGAGTGATTATCAAATATTAATTTTTTTTCCAATGTAAAATTAAATCTAACAAAGAGTGCACAAAAAGTGAAGGGGTCTGAATGCTTTCTGAAGTTATTGAATGCGATTTATCTGACAAAAAGTTGTATTGAACAGTTAAGCAGGCTCTGGCACTGATAACATCAATCTGTTATTTTGCTTTGCCAATAAATACCACATAGTATGTCCAATTGCACAGTAGGTATCATAACTACTAGCATAGCAGTGTTAGAGACATTAGTACTTCTGTGTTAATGGAGAAAGCTTGTATTTGGTACAACTTTGTGCTGTTTGTGTGAGTATTGTGCATGAATTCATTTTTCATTATTGCATTTTTCATGTTGCATTATGTAGTGAATGTAAATATTTTATGCACCTGAGCTACTAGTCTGTTCATAAAATGCAGTTGCATTAATATTACAAAATAATCTGTGTATAATGGGTTGAGGA